TCCACCCTTCCCAGCATCATGTCCCTCTCCGAGGAATAGACCCTCCTAGGAACATGCCCATAGTATATGAGGCAAAGCCTCATCCTTTTTGCCTCCAAAGAGCATTCAGCCTGCACCATCTCCAAGACATATCTGTTTGTTTTCTTGGCCGTCCATGGAATGTTATGTGCTCTTCTCTAATATGACAGCTCAAAGGTTTCAATTAATTTTCTGTTATCTCTATTCTTTGTCCAGCTCTTAGATGCATAGCAAGTCATCAGAAAGACTATTTTTGGCATAGATATGTTGTTGTTGTTCTATGCCTTAGAGTCAGCTGCAACCCATAACGACCCTATGTACAGCAGCTCTGAACTCTGCACTGTCCTGAGCCAGTCTCACTAATTCTGACACACCAACTCTCATTATTACAGTTATTGTATCAATCCATTTCATTTGGAGTCTTACTTTCCTGCTCTGTCCTTCCATCCTTACAAGCATGATGTCCTTCCCCAAGGACTAGTCTCTCCTAGCCAAACACCTAAAGTATATGAGACAGAGCTTCAAAATCCTAGCCTCCAAGGAGAAACTTGGTTTTGCCATCTCCAGGACAGACTTATTTGTTTTCTTGGCAGTCCATGTTATGTTTGAGACTCTTCTCTAGCACCACAATTTGAAGACACCAATTCTTCTTTCATCATCCTTAGTCACTTTCCCATTCTCTGATGCAAGGCACATAAGTGCAAAACCATAACCTGGATTAGGTATACCTTAGTCTCTAGACTGACATTGTTGCTTTTCAGTATTCTGGAGAGGTCCCTGATGGCAGATTTTTTCAATGCAATTCATCTTTTGATTTCCTGATAGCTGGTTTTAAGAGTGTTGATTGTGTAGCCAAGCAAGCTGTAATTGTTAGCATCAATCTCTTCTTCATCCATCATGGTTCTTCCAATTAGCCCAGTGGTGAGAATCTTTGGCTTCTTGGTGCTGAGCTTCAATCCATGTTGAAAACTAACAGTCCTTTACCTTCTCCAGCATGTGCATCAGGTCCTCCTCAGTTTCATCAAGCAAGGATGTACTGCATAACATAGGTTGCTGACGAGTCTTCCTCCAATCCTGATAACACACTCCTCCTCATAAAGCCCTGCTTCCTAAATGATCTGTTTTGGCATATAAATTGAAAAGGTATGGAGACAGGATGCATCCTTGATGCACCCTTTTCCTGATTTTAAACCATACCGTGTTTCTCTGCTCTATTCTGAGGACTGCTTCCTGGTCCAAGTACAGGTTTCACATAATATGGAAAATTAAAAACACAAACTCATTGCCCTTGAGTCAGAACAGACCCATAGCTTACCCTCCATTGTGTTTTTAGAGGCTGTAAATTGGATGAGAAATATTGTATATTTTTCTCCCACAAAACCACTGTTACATTTGAATTACCAGAGAGGTACCATAACTAGTTCACTGTGGAACTCTGTTTACTAGGATTGAAATGGAATGAGACTGTTGTCGAATACTGTCAAGTTGGAACTGATTCATAGCTGACTCTCTGGTGGGTTTTTAGAGGTAGCTAATTGCATGAGAAGAGATTGCCCAACCTTCTCCCATGGAGCAGCTGGTGGATTCAAACCATATGCCTTCAGGATTACAGTACAGCTTTTTTAGCACTAGGTTATCAGAGCTCCAGGTAATGACAAAAAAATATTTTGGAACTGATTTTAGGCAGATAGGGACATTGAATGAAATGTGATTTTTCATCAACCTAGAAAAATTAAACTGAAAAATAATATGTTTTCCTCAAATAAGATTGAATTTAGAGATATTATAGAAGACAATGAAGGAGATTGATGGCCTAGTGGCTGTGCTAGCAACCCAAAGGTACATGGTTCACATCCACCAGTAGCTCCGAGGGAGAAAGATGGATAATCTCCTCCGTTGAGATTAATTGCCTCTGAAAATCTGTTGGAGAGTCATCTATGGGTCAGTAATGACTGAGAACATGAGAAGTAGAAGCAATACAATCTTTGGAAATATATCAATCAGCCCTTTCATGATTTAGATAAGTTATACAAACGCTGTGCTTCAGTTTACTCATCTTTAAAATGAAGACAATATCTGTCTCTCCAACTTATGAAGATTGTTGTTTTTGTTAAGTGCCGTCAAGTTGTACATGACTCAAAGCAATTCTATGAATGAAAGACCTGAACACTTGTATAAATGTTATAGTTTCTCCAAGTTCATAGGGTTTCCAGAGGCAAGCTATCTTGGCAGTGGATGCCACTCCTGTTTCCAAGCTTGTTTGAATCAGGGAGTTCCACCAAACCTTGTCTGTCATGGGTAACCATTATTGCATTTGACACATCGGTGTCACAGTGTTCAGCATCACAGCAACCACGAGTTACCTCTGTACAGCAAATGGATAGACCAGTGCTATAACACTTAGAAGAATGTTTGACAAAAAAACAATTATAATCAGGTTCTGGTGAGAATTAGGTTTATTAGGATTAGCATTGCAATATCTAATATTTAGCATATGGTAAGCATCTCTGTATGTGGAGATTTTGTAGTCAAGGCTTCATTTTCTGATGACACTCAGAACTAAGAGTCTTTTACACAGTAAGCCTGTGTATGCATTAAATGAGATGCTTTCTCTTTTTACTTTAAGAAAACATTATCATATTGTGACATATTCCACTCTGTTAAACTGGAATATTTTTTAAAATGTTTTAATTGTTCCATTGATATTTCTCTTTCACAGATCTTCACATAGATTCTTCTGCCAAAACTTTAGGGCTAGTATAAAAGTGGAAAACAACACATAGCTTAATGATATTTCTAAGTTTTCTTAAAGTGGACAAAGCACAACATTTTTGTATTCTTCATATTGGTGGTATTTTTTCCAACTAAATAGTGCTAGAACTTCTAAACTGTAATAACTGAAAGGTAATGAGTTCAAAAAGAGTTTGCCTCTTCAATAAATTTAAAAAACTCAGACTCATTGCCATCAAGTCAGACCTGACTCATAGTGACTCTTCAGTCAGTGTCTGAAGCTGTAAGCCTCACAAGAGAAGATTGCCCATCTTTATCCTGTTTGTAATAAGTAGGGTTTTTTTTTAAAAAAAAAATCATGTTTTTACTTCATAATTTGAGTATGTGCTATTTTCTTTCCTAAATACTTTGGTGAAACTGATTAAAGCTAACGGTTCCTTCTCTACAGAGAAAAATGTACATTTGCATTTTTTTAAGCCTGTAAGTAAATTAGGTTCACTAAATCCCTACCCAACCACACACACACACACTAAACACTAAAGTTAGAACTGTGACACTCAACTTTGTTATTCAATTTTAATTAGTTTTCCTGTAACTTTAGAGTTCAGTATTTAAAAAGGCATAGTTAAGAATCTCCCTCTCTCTTGCCCCCCCCACACAAATAAAGATAGTATCTGTCTCTCAAACTTATTAAGATTGTTGTTGTTGTTGTTATGTGCTGTCAAGTTGCTTGCAACTCATAGCAACCCTATGTACAACAGCCCTAAACTGCTCTGTCCTGTGCCAATTGCGCTGTCTTTGACACTCCCATCCCAATTACCCCAGTCACTGAATCAATCCACCGCATAGCGGGCCTTCCCCTC